GCCATGAGCGCTGACGTCCCAGGCCAAGCATCAACTGATTATCAGCCTTCGCCATCCGCCCATGATGAGCGTCCCGCAGCCACGGGGTCTCTCCAATTCAGTAGGCTTGGGCCAGAGGAGGCGGAATCGGAGAGTCATCAGAGGAGGCCTGTAGTTGTGTAGGCCCTCACGCTTCCCTCTGAGCCAGGGCTGCCAGGTGTCCGGTGTCCGCTGACGTCCCAGGCCAAGCATCAACTGATTATCAGCCTTCGCCATCCGCCCATGATGAGCGTCCCGCAGCCACGGGGTCTCTCCAATTCAGTAGGCTTGGGCCAGAGGAGGCGGAATCGGAGAGTCATCAGAGGAGGCCTGTAGTTGTGTAGGCCCTCACGCTTCCCTCTGAGCCAGGGCTGCCAGGTGTCCGGTGTCGACCCGGACACTCCAGTATTTTCTGATTTTTTCCCAGCCAGGAGGCAAAAATCCCAGGTGCTTATTGGTTCTGCAGGGCAGCTGTCTGGCCCGGAGCAGGGAGACAAGATTGCTGATGACTGACAGCAGCCTGTTAGGACCAAAAAGCCTCAAAGTCATTTCTTAAAGGGGCCATGCTGGGAGATTTTTTAATTGATTAATTAATTAATCAAGTAATTAATTAATTTGCTTAATAACTCTCAGGGTCCTTTTTTTTCTCGACAGTTTTGGTCTCCCCCCTTTTTTTCTCAACAGAATTTTTCCCCAGTGGGGTTTTTTTTGGGTGGGGGTTCGGTATTTTTGGTTAAACCATCTGGAAACTCTGCTTTGAGCAGCTGTCGATGAAGCGGCATAGCTAGGGATGGAAATGGGACTGGGCCCCAACCAATGGTCCCTCTCCTTTTTGCCATCCATGTGCAGAATAAAATGTGTTACATGCACCGCGGCGTGTGTGGATGTGCACCACCAATAGAAACACATGCTGCCACCTGTGGGTGCTCTGCTGATCAGTGGAGCAGCATTTGAGTCTCTCCTGGGCGGCCGCCCAAGCACTCTGCTTACAGGGACCACAGCCCCCAACTTACGGAGGGCAGGTAGCTCTGACAACACCACAAATCATTTACATTCCACGTGAAGAAACTGACTTCGACGTGGCCTACACAAAGGCTCTCATCTGGGTGCTGGTTGGATGGGCCCTGCCAACCGTAGCTACACCCCGTGCTGGACCAATGCCCCAGCATGGTGGAAAAGGATACCGTGCCCCGGAGGAGTTGCAATGAAATGCTTCTACCTGGGGCTTTGGAGAAAGTAGGTCTGGCGAGGGCCACGGCACCCCTCCGCCACGCAGCAGGCAGTGCTGGTGAGAAGGTTCCCGTGTGCTTCCGGGGGAGAGACGACATCTCGGCAGCTATTTCTTTCCTGTCTTGTGGCTTCTGCCACATTTAGCTTTACAGAAGCTCTCCAGTGAGCGGGTCTTAGGAGACATGCTGCAGCCGCCACAGCGCGTTCGAGGCCCCCGGCGGCGCCCTGACGCGCAGCCTGTGATACTGTGTGCGCTCGGTGAGCTGCGCTGGGTACAAATGTGCACTTCAGCTCTTGGCACAGCCCGCGGCCCGGCGTAAGGGCGCAGTCGCGCTGGCGGGGCAGTCGCGTGCCTGGGCAGCCTGCTAATCTCCCTGCTGGGGCTGGGGCTGGCGCGAGCTGTGGTATTTGCAGGAACTCCTGACTCAGAGGCAGAGAAGATCGGGGCGTCTTCTCTGGTCGTCCTGGCAATGTGCAGAGTTCAAAACCGAGCAAGACATGCTGGGCCCTGGGGAACGAGCAGAAGGAGCAAATCTGTGCTGCTACCTTTTGCAGATGGATCCACAGGCCGGGGGTGGCCACGCACATGGACCTTCCCAGCTGCATACGACAGGCCTTAGGGGTTCAAGAGACAGGAGGCACCTGATGGGGTTCGGGACATCAGCCCT